TGGCGGGTCTTATTTGATCAATTTATTGCTCATCTGGTCGGCTGAGGAATTCGTAAAAGGGCAAGTTAGACGACCAATTTGTTCTGTCGATGGGTTGGTTGGTTGCAACTGGTTATGCGTTTCGTTTGTTATTCGTAATTCTCTACGTCAATAGAATACAAGAACTTCGCAGCAGAACATGCAACCAATGGGAATTATTAAAAATCTGACTACAAAACGTTGGTTTTCACTCAGTTGAATAGGCTCGCTCTGAGAAAATTCTGGTACAAATTAGCAAGTCTCACATCCCCAAGAAACTTATCAGCGTCATCAAAACTCATCATTTCTAGTTCTTTTTCGGCGCCCACATTTTAAGTATTTTCCTCGGGCAACTTTCGATAATATTTTGCTATTGTTAAAGGAATGTCATCTGCAAGATTTTAGAGTTAAATTTGAATTAGAACTTGATTAAATTCGAATTCAACTTTAATCCACTTTAGTTAGAGTTTTGCCTTCATGTAATTAATCATCTTTGGAATGAAAAATTCACAGCTTTCGGCAGTTTCTTTGATACCCTAAATATCACGAAGATAAAAAAACTAGATCTATAGTGGAAGATAAAAATTCATAAGAGTAATAATTTTCAATTCTGAATTTTTTTAAGTGGTCGTCTCAAAGGGAAGATGAAAATTTTTCAAATGTACAAAAAAATGTTAAAAAACCGCAGATGTAAATATGATAAATCACGTGTACGGTCGTGTTTTATCAGCATTTGTATTTTCATTCAGTCATACATCGCTAAAAATAGCTTGCGTGCGCCCGAAAACATTACAGCACAATTGTAGTTTTTATCACTTTGCACCTTTAGACTCTCTTAAAGTAGTTTCACAATCCTGGCGACAAATAGCCCCGGGTATCATAAGCTTGAGTGCATTTAGATAATCAAACATTAATGCTAGTACCAAGCTTGAGGTCGTCCTGAAAGGGACTCACTGCATGAGACCAAATGGTATCGTTAAGGAATTAGTATTTCCTTCGGGCTAAGATAAAAACTTTACATTTCAATCATATGATTCTCTTTTGACAAAGATATTCACAAAATGGAAAATTCAGATTTTATTATCTACACCAAATTCACTTCTTCAGTCTTCCATAGAATTGATAGTTTTTGCATTTGAAATCGAAATTTACAATTTTTTTCGATATTTACAGAAAACGTCAAATTATTATGATTGGGACACCATTACAATTATCTTATTTTATTGGATTGTGGGAAACCAGACTTTAAATTTCAAAGGCATTGTTTATTAGATTAAAGGAAGGTATTCTCCTTCGATGCAATTCCCTCGAATAGTTAACTTCGTGTAGTTTTTTCCACTGGCATTTGTCAAGAGCGTTTTAAAATATACTTTCTATTTCTACTCACGAAGTTACGTTAGACAACTAAATTTAAACATTTTGGGTACCAAACGATACTGTTTCGCACCATAATGTCATTAACCTTTATTGGTTTATGTGAAAACAGATTCCGCACTTCCTTTTCCCCATTTACCTTACTTCGTCTTCAAAAGTAATTTCTTTTTCCACTTTTAGCGTGAAAAGAACTTTTCATTTCAAAGGTCATGTTTTCTACTGAAAAGAAATTCAATTTATAGGAGGGCCTTTTCCTCCATCACATGTCTATCTTGGCATATAATATAGTTTTCATTGTACTCCGGACAAACAATTACTATCAGATCAGGATGTTGACTATTTTGGCGTGTTGTTGAACCTTCTTATCGTTCTGGTAACTCTACGAAGATACAGATTGCATGAAAGCTATCTATAGCATGAGATTAAAATGTTTGAATTTCCCATTCAACATTAAATTGGCGCGCCTAAAGCCCCTTCAGCGCCACTTTTCCAAGTAAATTTACTATGCTATTCACGTTCATAGCGCTCAGTCCTTTGTTCGATCGACATTAATTCAATAATCAATCTTTCACACGAACTTGGAAATCATGTACTAAAAAAAAGGCCATCAAGCTCAGCAATGCATCACAAACCTTTTCACTTCATAAAGGATACATGTCGCAAATAAAAGGTTAAAAAAGTCATAAATGAAAACAAGGTTTCAGCTCTTTCGTGTGAAGAAAAGAAAATTTAATTTTCCATCATTGCGTTTTACGCGTGAATCCCACAAGCCACGTTCGACAAAAGAATAGATTAAATTACGTCACCAAATGAGCGGAAAATCCCTGCCCTCGTAACTCTGGTGTCTTTTAACAACAACCCTTATTAAGGACAACACTCTTCGAAAATATCAAGTCATGCAAATTTTTAATTAAATTTGCCAGAAAACTTAAGAATACATTCAAAGATAATTTTTAACAAAATGTTCCAACTTAAAGCGGTTAAATTAAACCGAAAACGATGGAAAGCTCAACTTTTATTCAAAAAAATACATTTTGAACCAATTGTTCATACACTTCCAAATTTGGACAGAAGCGTTTCCTTTCTAATTCTTCCCTCCTTCAGCTATTCAAAGTATATATTTAATGACAAAAAAAACAATTACTGAGGCTTATTTTTTATTCAACAAAATACGTTTTGACCCAATTGCTCATACACTTCCAAATTTGGTCAGAAGTGTTTCCTTTCTAATTCTTTCCTCCTTCGGCTATTCAAAGGATATATTCAATAACAAAAAAAAACAATTACTGAGGCTTATTTTTTCATTAAATTTGACGTAGCTATAGAATTCAGAATTAACGGTATAGGAACACGAAGAATGAAACACACGTCAAATTAACTCAATGTAGCACGCAACATTCATTTGTGACCATGTTTATAAAACATGAACTTTTTGGAATCAAGTATTCTGCGATGTAAATAAGGCTTAGGTTGCAAAGCAGTTTAGACAGAGAGCCTGTTTTTTCATCAGATGATTAAAAATTTCCATCTAACTGCCGAGTGACAGTATATCAGGGAAGCAACAACATTGGTGATCAATGTTTACAACCTAAAAAGGTAAATACAGCAGTAATGATCTCTAAGGAAAAAGCACTACGAATTTAATACTTGAACATGGTGTATTTCATGTTTTATCTGCTTATTAATTTAAGGCATATTATTGCACAACTGATTTTTACCCATGTGACACTGTTTTTGAGTTTTCGCAAGAGAAATGGATACTGCAAACTTCTGCCAAAAACTTAAACCACTTTGAAAGCTTGTAGGCGTCTACTAGTAATCCGCTAGCGTTTATACTCAGTTTTTACCACGATTTATTTCACTTTTTACCATACAAAATTTCCTGAAATATTATACTTTACGTTTGTTACCCAATCTCTTTAGGAAAAGCATGCCTCTAAAAATTGCTGGTTTTTTTCTACCAACATACATTGTGAGAAATTAATTCCAGGGAAACATTAAAAATGTATTTTGTCAAAATGAAGGCCAGTATTGCGTGCAATGTACGATGGGGAATATACATTGAATCGGGCATTAAGAAAATGGAGTTTCAGAGATCCGTTGATCACAAGCGTTTGAATCGAGTACAATTTGTACACTATCAAAACACAGCCAACAATACCTGTCATCAAAATCCGATCAGCATATGTCATTTGTTGCAAATATTTCCATGATAAACTGATTAAAAATGGTCGGAAATTAATCAAAGGACTGTGAAACCACAAGAAATTACCCAAACTCCAACAGCCGCTCAAGTCTCATCCCTGATATCATTACAACTAACATAAAGCCTCAAAGAGAAAAAAATTAAAAAAAAAAAAAAACGGTTTGAATAGAGAGTATCTACGCGTGGGATTACAGAATTTTGGATGGATATAGTTCAATCATGATGCAAACTAAAATCAAGAACTTAGTTTTCATGCAAAGACAAATGCTCCTACTTCATATGATTGAACACTACCAAGAATGGTTATTGGTCGAAGTCCTTCATCCATGTACACTCCAGTTACCTTTCATGATGCTAGCTAACGATCAGCAGATCATTAACGCCAGTTAAAATTCAGTTCACATTCAAAGGATTTGTCAATACTGAGGGTCATCTATCGTGAGTTTATCCTAACCATACTGAGGGTTATCTTTTGTGAGTTTATCCTAACAGTCAATCATGAACGCTGCTAATTCTTTCTGAAATTATTGACCTTCAGGGCATGTTGACACAAACATCCAATTTACAATTATTTGTATATGTGCAAGGTTTCAAAGGAAGGGAATTATCATTATTTGCATTTTAACACAAAAAACCAGCGCACTTCACTGAATAAAAAGATACAAATACGTAGCCATAGTGTTTTAATATTACTTATAGTGATGATATTTTCTCGTAAGAAAATCTCCTTAAATGACCCTTCAGAAAACGGTTATTTTAACATGGTTCTTCATGAGGATAATCATTTTAGTGCAGTCAATCCGCATCTTTCTGAGTAAGCTTTTGTCTGGCTATGAGGAAGAACCAATCTTGATCTAAAAATGCTAAATGTTCAAGAAACAATTCATCCGGACTTCGGGTGGCAGTTTTAAAATATTTCTAGAAAAATTCAAAAATAAATCTACGATGATAAGAAAAATTCACATTCCCCTTGAATCTTCCCAAAAGGGGTAGCGCTCTTGTCAAAATGTTTTCCGATGGAAATGGGTTTTCAGGCCCTGAAATTAATTATCATTCATAACGCTAAAATTTGGGCGGAAAGGGCGCCAAAGAAAAGACAATAGCGCTGAAACTGAACACCAATTACAACTCCAGGACTAAAAAAACTGCTATTTCGTCCATTAAGCAATTATGGCACAAAAGCTTGCACTTCAAGAATCTCTACTCAAGTTCCACAAATGAACGCTCAGAAAATGACTGATGCCAATCCTTCTTTTGTGCTCGGCGCTCTGATGTCTTCCAAGGATAATCGATTCATAAACAATGAATACTGCACAATTTATTTGTAGTATTTAAGTTGTCAGCACCTGTCCTTTTCTCTTGTTCGCCTAATATTGGATCGACGTAGTGCGATCATAAAATTTATTGAGCTTGGTCACCAGCACAACAGTATTTTTCGATATTTACCGCCTAGTAAAATCGCCATCAAGAGTGTATCAGTCACTCGTGGAGTGAAAAAGATGATCTTCAATCAAGGTATGCGAAGTTGTTCTCTACAATCAAATCCAAGCTTTTTTTCTGTCAATACTGGGTTATGCGCTTTCCGGTTGGAGAAAACTTTACTATAAAAGGTGTTTCCTTTTCAACTATCCAAAGCGTCTTAATGAAATTCTCTTCTTTAATTACGAGAGAAGCACGGTCAAAAGTTTTCTCACCTTTGTATTGAAAAGGGAGTCGCTTGACAACTTAGTAGTGTTACAGAGCAAGATCTCTCATAAACTGATTGTATTAACTATAAAAAAAATGCATGTATTTCGTCTTTCTAAAATCGGCATATGTCCTTTAAATCCAGGTTTTCTGGCCAGGAATAATTTAATATATTTCGACGAAATTTTGCCTTTGCAGCAGCGCAATTCGAAATTATAAAAATTGTCCAGTCTTCGTAAGAAGAAGGATAGCAAAAACCATGATAATTCTTAAGTACAAATTTTATTGAACAATTTTTCTCAGGAAGGATGAGGTAGCCAGCAAGCAATATTCTTTATTTGTAAAAGAATAAAAACGCATTACGGTTTAATAATATTACGCCTCGAGAAAGGGATTAATGCAAATGTTCTTAATGTTTTTTTTTTTTTTTTAAGTGACAGTGTTTTATTGCGGCTTGAAGCTATGACAGAAAAGATCGTGGCTTTAAAAATGTGAGAAAAGACCCTTGTTAAGGCTCGAATACTGTTAACAAAGTGAAAAAACGGTGGTTATTGGTTCACTTGGTCGAATGTATAGAATAAACACATTACCGCGGGAAACCTCACTCTCCGTGCACCACCTTCTAATGAACCCCACAACGGCGAAATTTTACAACACAATGAACCAGCGAATAATTCAGCTTGAAAGGAAAGCAAAATATCCCTTTTATAATTACAAGGTAAGCTGAGTTATTCAAAATATTCGAATCTGAATGAGAGGATCTCAATCAATCCTCTTTACGGTTGTTAAAAATGGAAACTGGCGGACAGTTCATATGCAAACTGAAAATGATTCTAATCAAATTTTATACAATTGTCGGAATTAGCGAAGCGGCTGCAGGATTTTCACTAATCTGTCATGTTTCTTGAACTGGTCCTCATAAAAGTAATTTTCGACCCTCTGTTTTTGTGCTTCTTTCGACAACAAATGGGTGGTCTAATATAATAATGACGAGTACATGAAGAGAAAATGGATCTTTAACGAACCATCAATGGAGCAACTGATTGAAAATAATTTTGACTAGGATTACGGAAGTCCTTGGGCTTTCATTTAAAGAGCCACTGTCAAATTATGCCTCATTGTCGTCGCGTTTTTCATTAGCCATGATGTATGGTAACAAACTATACTCAGGACTGGCAAGTTTGACGAGGAGAATCAGTAAAATTGACGGAGAAATCCCCATTCACGGTGGGAATTTTATTAGTTAATCTTCTATTGTAAATTCCTTTCATTCCTAATCTAGGGCGTGTTCCAGAGTACAATATAGGTGTTTACTTCGTATTAACGCTGCGTACGGTTGATTCTCAATTTCCCGATCAAAGGTTGATCAGGAAACTGAGAGTACTAAAATGACATCTCCCTCGCAGTTCGGGCTATTCGAAATAAAAACACGACCATGAAGAGGTCTTACCTTAAGGAAAATCAATCAAAAACCTGATCCATTTTTTTATGAAATGCAAGGATAAGAAATTCAGGTAAGATTTAAGTTGTTTGCTTAACAGCGCCACAAAAAAATACTTGATATGTACTTCTCTTCTCTGCACTAAAGTGTGCGTATTTACGTTAACGAAAGTTCTACCCAAAAAAGAGAAACACTCTTAGAACCGTTAAGAATACACGATAATATTCATTTACTTAATCACAACTTTTAAATGCTGTCATAACTGCTAGAGTTAGGAGACATAATTACATCTTCGTTTAAATGTTCAACAGAAACGTGTCCTCATCTAGATCCAAACAGTTGCTTTCAAAACACTGCATATTACTTGGGTTAGTAGAGCCCATTTTTCCTCTTAAAGACGAAAACTGTAATCTGAATGTTTGAATACAAACCTAGCTTGTTTGTAAAAAACAGCTCAAGATGGAAACAGGTGGAAAAAGTGTCAGAGGTACATCGATTTGCGATAAGGAGTGATTGCTTCACCATTCATTTACGCATTATTGCTGTTTCCGATAACATTTATCAAAATGAGTTAAAGCCTAGTCGATTAAACCTTAAACTGTTGGGTTGCTCAATCAAGTCAATGCATTTAAAAAAATATATTTTAGTAGACTAGATAAAACTCATTCTACACCACAACGATGTATTTGGAGTAAACACGGGCTTTGATCAGTAACAGGTTTCACCATGGCAACACATTTTAAAAGTTCAAGAGTAGAGTGCTTATAACAATTATCATGCGACCAGTTTTGTTATGTTTTCCTTCTAATATTAAGACAAGGCAGATAATTACTGTTAAGGCTACAACGGCCGGCTCAAGTCCCTCCGTGCATCAAGTAGAATTTATAAAGTACGGGAAACTGTCTGAGAGGAAAGAAAACTTCGCTAACCGCAATTGAATATGCTGTTCACATTGAAAAGGAATCTTACTATCTTTAATATAATTTTATTTATATATTATTCCTTTTAAGTAGAATTCAAACTCACTAGTGAAGTGAATATAACTTAAAAAGCTGGGTTCTCTGAAATGTATGCTTAAATTAAAGCATATGTTTACTTTACATTGAGAGAATGGAAATCATTAGCAATGATATCGAAAATTTTTCTTAATGGAAGCAAACCAGGGAAGTTAGGATTTATTATTTAAAAAAAAAAAGTATTCCTTTCAATAATTCAGACGCCAATGAAAGTGATGGAGCTAGTAAAAGGGGCGTTAAAAATAGGAAAACTTTATCGGCCAGAACCTTGGCGCCTTCATTTAATTCACAGGAGGCCTGTTGTCGCATCTCACTCTGAAAAACAGTGTCGCAAAAGGAATAGTGCAGCAAGAATTGTCTGTCATATGAGAAAAATTGAGCGGCAAGACGGATCATGGATGATAGGATTTCTCTTTTGCTAGGTACTTTCTTCCTCCTCTGCCATCTTATTTCTTCGATCCTACGTCACAGCTTGTTGTACAGAAGCACGGTGAGAGGCAACTTTATTTTCCGTCGTAATAAAAATAACTTAATTTATCGTTGCCATTTTTCATAAATATGTCTCGTTTCTCCGGCTGGGCAGTATTTTTAAGCAAAGACGTCGGTCACTAACTCAAGCCGATAAATAACTTATCAATCCTCTCTTTTCTCTCTCTCAAATCACTTTGGTTGACAGAAAAATATAGGTTTCAGAATGAATTTGCATAAGCATTAGTGTTACGTTGGTTGAAAAGCGGCCAAAAACCGTCTGCGATTAATTTTAACCGTTCACAAAAAGTACCATGGAAGTTAAAACGTGAGGTATTTGATTACAATTGAACTAATTGATGGAACTTTCATTCATTTAATATCTGAATTTTGTTCGTAGTGAAAGGGCGAGCGAAGTTTTAATTTCAGTTCTGCAACAAATATACGCTCTCGGTGAGTCTTTCCAAGTCCGTTCACTTTGGACATTTGTAAAATGAATAAAATAAATTGGACAACAGAAACTTAAGGAATTCAATGAGAAAAGGCCGCATTAAATCCCCTTGTGTCTCGTTGGAGTGTATCATTCGAATTCAGTTTTTATAGAGGAAAGACCAGATTTACGCACGCCATTGCAGCAAAAAAAACGTACAAACTCTAACAACTTCAAAATAAGAAATTTGAATTTACTTACAGTTACTTTCCTCGCCGTTTACTCAATGAACAGAGGTAAATCTTCGTACATGAAGTAATCATCGATGAGAGTGAATAATACTTTCCGTTCGATCACGGACTTTTTTAAGAAAACATTGTCGTGACAGTCCTTGCCAAACTAGTTTCGCTGTTTTTCAAAAATGAACATGCGTTTTTTCCTCTCTTACGCCCTCTCAAATTGGCAGGTGACGGATTGTGACAGATACTTGTAAAAATAATGTTTCAAAGTTTATTTGGAAGCCTTTTAAATCACCTTTATCATTACACAAGTGAAAATGTTGCGGTGAAGCATCTCTCTTTAATTGCATCACCCCTATTTTAACTACCATTTACCCGCTCAAAAATTGTTCAGTTTATGGTAGATCTCGACGTATTTACAGCCCTAAGTCATTCGGGTTCTTTCGGAAAGAATTTCGTTAAGTTCAAAAAAATAAATAATTATGTTATTTATATGCTGTTTTCACAGTTCCCTTGAAAGTTCTAAAGTATATTTTTCTTTTAGATTCGAAGAAGTTTTACACTGAACCGGGAAAAACTGAAAATTTATGCATATCGATTGTTTAGCGGTTTAAATAAAGAAAATATGACAATTAGCTCACAGGGATAGCTGTACCTTCAGGCTAAATGAGTGTATTAAAAATTTAAAAATAATATTTATTTGGCACCAGCAAATAAAATGTATAACTGCGAGGGTTACATGAAAAAAATTTTTTTAACCAATCCCTAATGGAAGTATCCTCCAAAACTTGCGAGATGAAAATTAGTATCCAGCTTCAAGCTCAAATTAGATGTTAATGTTTAGTCCGCTTAACATAATTTTGTGAACAATTAAAAGTCTGGTTGCGTTTTAACTGCTCATGTAGTTTTAATTGTCAACCGTTGCTCCATTTTCGGTAAAACAAAAACTAGGTTTTTAAATTTTCCAGTGAGGCTCTAAAGGTGAAAAAAATTCCTCTCAGCATTTACCACAACACAAGAACGTTGACCAAACAAATAGCTATGCTTCACCGATAATTTACGGCTGTGCCATCTGCATCTTTCCATCACTAAGCTTCGCGGAACAGGTGAAATAATGTTCAAATGACATCGCTTTCAGTTGGGTATTTCTTAATTTCGAAGACGTTGCCAAGATAAGGAAACAAACAGCGGTTGCACCAAAGTAAAAATTGAAAATTAAGCACTACTCAAAATTTGCATCAGCACAAAAGAAAGACCTATCTTTTTCTTGCATGGGCGATATGATATTTCCTTGGCTGATATATAATGTTTCTGAAGAAAGGGAAATGTGCCCCAAGGCTTATTAATACAGAGATCTGCATGGTTCTTATATCAAGTAATGTGGGCTTTTAGACGGTGACACTTTTCGAAGAGAGGTTTTTAGAAACAATAACTCTCAAAACGACAGGTAAACCTATATATCTTCAGTTTATTGTAAACCGGACTCGAGGAAAACCTTCGACATGAAACGGGTTTCGGTTAAAGGTGGTCAATTGCCGGTCGACCTTATGTTCAACTTGTGTGCAGGCTCTCGTGTTTGGGTTTCGCCTTGTGGCACTGCTGGCTATTGCTTCATTAGCAACCGCTTATGAAAACTGAAAACATTGTCCAAACCATTGATGAAGGGCCTCTGTAGTTCTTTTTCTGCGTCACACTGTCATAAGCTCTATCACTTTTTTTTATACTTTTCTTTCTTGACAAAAAGCGTCAGTGTGGTTGTTACCACCCTCAGGATTTAAACTCAGTCCAGTTCAACTTACTGGTTATGCTCGCTGACAATCAAATTTGTCACTTTAAATCCCTTATTATATTAAAGTCCAACTTAGGGGTTGATCGATGACTTTTTTCCCATCAGCGGTAGCGAAGGTGTAGAAGGCGGCTGTGCCATAGTGCGAAACCCAAACACGAGAATTTGCCCGCAGGCAAAACAGACAGCGGTAGATCCTTAGCAACCGACTATCATTGAAACCCTTCCAGGATTTGAACCCAGTCCAATTCAAATTACTAGTTATGCTCGCTGACAATCACATTTCTGTCACATTGAGTTCCCTTATTATATAATTTTCTTTGAAAAAAAAACCCTCCGATTTAGGGGGTTTTTCAATACCTTTTCCATAGGCGGCGGCCGATCGTGTAATAGACTTCTGTGCCATAATGAGAAAACGAAACACGAGAATTTGCTCGCAGGCTACAGACGGCGGTACGATGTTCTACAGGCGGCGGTAGAGCACCGGTCATCGACAATCATCGAAACCGCTGCAATTTTACTGAAGCTGCAAACAGCAGGTAATGTTTACAAAATTCTTAAAGCGGATTACACATGCGTCTCTGAGAATCGAGAGCTAACTGTCTGGATTATGAAAGAAGGAAAATTTTGGTTAGGTACACGAAAAGTTTCATTTCTCGAGTACCGCAGGCAGGTATACAAGTGGCATGTTCCTTGACAAGTTTCCTGGTTTCCACAAATATAAGACCATGTCTACCAACAAACTAATTCGTACGCTGTAAGAAGGGCTCGGTTCGAACTGGGATTGTGCTGAATATTGGTAAGTGCATTCGGCGAATTCACGAATAGATCAGAAACTTAGTCGAATGAGTAACAAAAACAACCTCTTTGATGTGATGTCAACACTACGACTAAAATTTATTAAAGTTGATGCTCTGTGGTGTTATTAATATATATCTTTCGACAAGACAAAACGACAAGAAAAGAAAACCTAAACAACTTGATGTTGGCAACTCGTTAGAATCCATGAAACTAAAAAATAGCAGCCTCGGAAAAGAACAGAAAACTTTTCAGTGATTCCGTGAATTTTTAATAATTTAAATTGTCACATGGTACACGTTTTTCAACCTTTGTAACAACTGCTTTAACTTTGTGCAGCAAATTTCAAACGCAAAATCCGCTTGAAACGGAAGTTTTACACGTTAAAAGTTGATTAGCGGGAGCCATTTCGATATGTTCATAACGTGTCAGAGATTAAAAAATTGCCGTTATACTATTAATGCGATAAGACTCAATTTTTTTTTTCTTTTAAAAAAAAAAACATAAAAGTTTCCATTTGCGAAGTATTGGTAAATATGAAAAAAAAAAAAAAAAAAAAAAAAAGATTTTCGCTTTTAAGGCTTAAAGGTGGTTTACTTACCCTGCTTGAACGCCTCTTGCGTGACCACATACTTTGGAATCGGGCAGTAAGAGAAAGTACGCAAGCTTATATTTCAGTCCCTAGACAAAAACACCTGAGGAAAAGTCTACATCGGCACCAAAGGCTGAGTGTAGCTCATTTTAATTTAAAGGAGTTTGTTTTTACGCGCTTCAAACCACATGCCATTAACACTATTAGAAGAAACAGGCTGTCTGTGTAAAATAAGAATAAGCTTCCCTCTAACAAAGATAATGTTTAGATAGGTTTCGCTTGCGGCGAGAGGTGAACCACATTTATTATCATAGAGGGAGTAAGTTTCTGAATAAACTATAGTGCTGCGTCGGTGGGAGAGTATAACAGGGTAATTCAGTATTATTAACTGAGTTGGTAATGTAAATTGGCCACCGTAAAGAGTTAAAGATCTGACGTTTCGAGCGTAAGCCCTTCGTCAGAGTGAAATTCGTCGCTGATAACACTAAATTGCCACACAAGCTCTTCATTCTTCATCCTTCATCCTAAGCACCAAAATCCACTAAAATTCAGCGCCCGATAATGCAAATGTAAAAAGCGCCTTGGAGCAATTTCATCTTTTATTATATTTTTTTGGTCATTATTTCATTTTAACTTTTTTTTTTGGTCATTTTTGCTTTATGCATATTATTCCAGAAAATTCTTATTCTTATTATAGAAATGTAAATGATTTTTTCAGCAGTTCCTTAAAAAAGAAGCAAGGATACTGTTTTTCTCAATGAATAGTTCAACACTGCCCTCAAAGAATATATTTGCGCACAATGACCAAAATTCCAGCGGCTTCTTTAATCTTTTCACGGCAAAAATATTACAAAATGAATATCCTTAGAACCTTTCCAAGTTGGTCAAAACATTCACTAACAATATTATATACAAAAACTTATGTAGATATACTTCATTGAATAGACACATTCTGGCCTCGACGAACATAATTATTTGCAGCAATAAAACCGTCAAAAAAAAAGAATTTTCGTTTGTGCTAATTGATAAAACTCACAATAACTTAAGCTCCTAAAGGCACTTAAATAACTTTAATTCGTAGCGGTAGGAACAGGACTCACATCGCACGAAAGCACAGATTCTGCAAGATTCGTTGTAAAAAAATTCTTCGAATACAATTTTCGTCATGATAACAATTGAACAAGACTAAAAATTGCTAAAATACAACACGTTCTCCCGGTGTATCTTAGTCTAAATAAATTTAATGAACTCCAGTCTATCAAAAGCGGTAGATGTTGAACTCATTTCATGCAAAGTGTTATTAGTCGGCGGTCGATGTACATTGTTCAGTAGATCCTTTCAAATCTCCATCTGTATTAATACAGGAAGTTGCCAAATGAAGCTCGACTAATTCTAGGGAAATGCAATGAGATGGTTTTTTATTCACCTTTTGGAAATGACCATCTCCTGTGGTAAACATTTGCCTTCTTTCTTTTGAGATAAACAGCGAAATTAAGGACCTGCCTGACTTAGGGTTTCCAAGACGATTTAATTTATTCGCCAGAAATTGGATAATGTATGGTGTCTTCTACCTAGTGGATCGACCTGTTCAGTGCTTTAGAAAGGAAATTAGCTCATTTCTCTTTAGCTTTTATCTGATGCGAAATTAAGTGCCGTCAAAATATATTTAACATAAAGCTTAATGGTCCGATGTCATTTCAAATTATTAATCCAGATTTTCTCATTTACACAGGTACCTTCCCACTACATTGAGGATATCAAATCGACAAGCTTTTAAAAAAGTGGAAATTTAGCCCCCCCAAAAAAAAAACTGTGAAAGAAAGCTCCTTGTTACGCCAAGTAACCGTGGTTGACAACGAAAAAGTCGTCCAAATCTTTTATGACGTTTTAAAATATCTTTTTGTTTGTTACTTTCCCGTCAAACTACCTGTCAACAAGAGAAAACTTTTCAGCCCAATACTGCCATCAAAATAGATAATACATCATTTCCTGTCAACCGTGGGGGATAAAGAGAGATTTTCGATTGCAAAACCCGCAAGTACAGACTTCAAGCACTTAACGGTTTACAAGTGCCCGTGGAACCGCCAACAGCTGCAGTGCGAGCCATGAATCACACAAACACAACCAACCCAGGCGCAAAACTAAACGATTCAGTAACTAGCGGCATCTACGATCCTCTAAATATTCTTTCATTCAGCTGCTTGCTTCTGATTATGACAATGACCTTGTTTGGAAATGCACTTGTTATTCTCGCCTTCAAGAGGAACATGAAGATTCGCACAGTAACAAACTACTTCGTCGTATCTTTAGCCGTAGCAGATATCTTGGTGGCCTTGGTATCCATGCCGATATGGGCTGCTTATCTGATGTCCGGGGTATTACTCAAAGAGGTATTCCTAAAAGTATGGACATTTATGGATATTCTCTGCGGAGTGGCTTCCATTATAAACTTGACCGCAATTAGCATCGAAAGGTACTTCTGTATCACTTATCCTCTCAACTATCACACCACGATGACGTCAACGAAGGCTATAACTACCATCATCATCATTTGGATATTTTCTATCATTATGTCCTCGCTTAAGATTATCCTGTGGGAATGGCCTCCACCAAAATACGAACTAATGATAGTTATCAGTTGCTTTTTTGTGCCGCTTCTAATCATGTGTATTTCTTACAGATTTATTTTCAAAACTGCGCGCTTTCAAGCGCGCCAAATAGCGCTCATGATAAAAGGCAACGTCAAAAACTTTCTCCTGGCGTCGGAGATGCGCGCCGCAAAAACGTTAGCCGTCGTAATGGGCGCTTTTGTGATCAGTTGGGGACCCTTCTTCATCATAAACATAGTGTATGGTTTTTGTGATGGATGTGTAACAGAGCAATCCGTTGTTGTGGCCAAATGGATGCACTACTCAAACTCGGTGTTCAACCCCATTGTGTACGCGTGTATGAACAAGGAATTCAGAAAGGCATTCTGCATCATACTGTTTGGACGAAAACGATGTTGCAGACCAAGAGGCAGAAATGAAACCACGGATCAAACAGAACTTACCCTAGGAACTAACACTTAATTTTAATCTCCTGAATCCGCAAGCTACATAGCTTGCGAAATATTGTCAGAAAGACGTAAGACCCGCGCCACATATAAAAGATTCGATTATCTTTGGCGCAAGTAAACATGTTGAAGAAGGTTCGGAAATGAACTAAATTTATTGGCCAGACGAAGGGACCGGTCATTATTTATGTAGAGGGGGGAGGAAAAAAAGAAGGAAGGGAGGGGGGGTCAAGGCTATTTCAGATTGACTTGAGTGGGGGGAAGCTTAAATTTTTATCAAGAAGTTTAGGTGGCCTCAGCAGTTTGAGGTATATTTTAAGAGTTTTCCATTGCCCAAGTTGGGTTTTTATGCAAAATAATCATCTTATAGTTGTGTGTGGCATGAATTTTAACAGTTACTAGGCATAGAAGAAGAGACATGAGGTGACAGGGGGGTCATCTCGTCAATATTGAATTAAGAAGGGGGAGTTACTTGCTATTTATATGGCCTGGAAGGGGGGAGCTTGTAAATTTTGGTCTTTGTAACATATTTTTCCTCTCCTCCCCCCCCCCTCCCCCCGACATCATTAATGACCGGTCCTTAATGAAAAACTCAAACATTTCATGTGTTCGTAACAAGGTTACAACATGGGACAATTAGCTCACACTGAGATTGAACGGTCTCTTTTGCAAGTGTGAGCTATTGCCTTTCTCAGTTCAACTAAGCCATCAATCGTTGATCAGGCTAATTCAATTGCTTGTGTATTGAATATATACATAAGATATCTCCATTTGTAAACTTCATATATTCTCTAACTGATCTGCCTTTTTTGCCACAGTCGCTACTGAGCTAATACATAACTATAGTGGCACAACGGCGTCCTGGCAGTCAGTGTAAACTTCTAAACATCGACATACTGTTAAGTCATTCTAATAAATAATAAAAAGTATAGTTCCTTTGATAAAACTGCTTCCAGTTCACGGTGAAATTCCCCTTCTGGACTACACTAATATTACGTTAGTTAGCTTACGTGAATCCGTGACAGTGAATCAGCTTCCTCACAACAACGGCATAAATTTCTAATGTATCCATATTTAAATTTGTCTACTGACCTTGACGGTGAATTTCATTTCTTTTTCCTCCACAGTTGTTTCACAGGTTAAATTAAGTCACTCTTTTGAGAAAAGGCGAAGAATATAGCCTCCTTTTATTGCCCTGGCGGAGGAGAATTTAAAAGACAGTTATTCTTTAACACTGTAGGCCAAAAGCGAAGCATAAAAGCGAACCTGCTTCATTTCATAAAACTCAGTCACGAGTGAATAAAAAACAGCTTACCCCGAAAACATTCGATTATGCCTCCACTTTTCAGTGAAATACCATTTCTGTGATTCATGAATGTACTGAATTTAAGACATTTTACAGCTTTAGAAGGTCTAAACATTCGTAAAACTGTTGCACTTAAGTATCCATAACTAGGAGTACACTCGAGCGCCATTTTGTTTCTTAATGAACAAAATACCGCGAACGAACTAATCAGCGGTCAACACACAATTCATCTAACAATGCCATAACTATGCCGGCAAGACATCGTTTCGCTACAAGATATTGTCGCCTTGATAGGAAACAACGTTTCTTATGGATAATAAATGTAAAAAATAAGTTTCTAGAAATTTGTAGAGTGCCAAGTCACCGTGGAAAATTGTTCATTCCGAGGAACTTGGAGAGAATTGTGAGATTGTGTCAGCGGTGAGCTAAGATGTAGACTGTGGTGGCCTTGGGTAAGCTTATTGAGGATAATTATTGTACAGCCTTTAGGAGTCGCCACTTGTTAATAATATTACTCGTTGTTCAATAAAGTAGTTGAGTTCGTAAGATTGTAGTGTTCTTTCTGTCGGTTCGATTATACCGTAACAATTAACAACTCTTTTCTTCTTCACAATCGCTCGCCGGCAAACGATGATTTAACTTAAGTACCATGATAACAAGGAAGCCTCTCGCAACGATTGTGCTTAATTTGTGTTTTTAGATTATCGATCAGAGAATGAAGAAATACTCTCCTTACTCGCTTCAGTCAAAGGTAATAGGTACAAAATTTGACAACTTTAAAAAATACCCCATAATGAAAAAAATCAAACGTTTCTATAACTGCCAGAAAAACTCGATTTTGCAAGTTGGTAATTATTTTGAATTCCTGCAGTCTTTTGGCATTCAGATAACCATTCCTTAAGAAGATTGGACAACACTTCAGATTCCCCACAGTTGGAGTTGAACAATCGAAAAAGTTGTTTTTTATCAGCTTTAAGCAATTAATAATTTTATCTCATGCACGATAATAAATTGATCTCTGTAACTGATATCTACATACTACAAACTACCAACGCAAAATTCTAGATTTGTTGAAGTGCTAATTAAAAACTTATGATTATTATTATATTTTTTCTTTTGTTTTTCGCGGGGCATAAACAAGAAAGCCCTCCTGACAGCGGTTCAGTTAACAGTTATGTTGCCTAGCGACTCCAGTACCAGAATACATCAAGGAATAGGTGTCAGCGACACGTAACTTCGATTGTGCCACTTCCAACTTCCAAGAAACTTTGAACCATGTTATCACAATGACATTCGCGTCAATTGAAACAAGTTTGAATTTGTGTGACTCACAGGAGGTACAAAATCATGTCGCAGTGAAAAAGACTTTGGCAGGAAATTCTCCGGGTTACAAAATGGAAATTCATGTTACTCAAGGCAAACTGTTATCGCAACCTGTCCTTTTGGTGAGCGGCAATGACTTAGGGAGAAGCAGCCTCCATATCTACAAACAGATAATTGCACCAAACATACACTTATACTGACCAACACATTCTCTCTCGTTTGTTCTTTGTCTTGAAGAGGTGATGAACAGAATTTATTGCTTTTCTTATTGCCTAGACCGCACTCTGATTAAAGTGTTTTTTGTGTGGAAAGCACTTAGCATCTTGCCTCAACGTCCAATCAGATCCGTTTAGTCGATCGTTTCTGTAATGTTTTCTGGTAGCTTTCCTTTCACATGGTAATTATTGGTTTAATGATGATCACTGTAAAATCAAATTTCCATACGTGAGACCATCTTGTTGTATGCTATTCATTTTTTCCACAAAGCTCCTTGATCACCATATCTCCTACCTACGTCTTTTGCAACCACACCAGCAGGCGAATACCTGTAAATTTCTTAAGATTCGTCGGAAAAGACAAAACATTATTTTCGATAAGCCTCTTCGAAAAAGAGATCATTTGTGTGCTGATCATTTTTCATTTTCTCAAGGCTAGTGCAGGTAGCAAGTCCTCATGGAATTATCAATGAAGGAAGGCCAAGCAATGAACCAAACAAATCTGTTCAAGCCGGAATCAGAATTGAATAACTCAACGATGGGTGAGCGAAGCAGCCCACTGAATATTCTTTCATTTAGTTTCTTGCTGATGATCATGTTGATGACTTTATTTGGAAATACACTTGTTATTCTCGCCTTTAAAAAGAACTCCAAGATTCGCACAGTCACAAATTACTTTGTAGTATCTTTAGCCGTAGCTGATATCTTGGTGGCAATAACATCCATGCCGATTTGGGCTGCATATCCCTTGTTCGGGGCACGACTTAAAGAAAGTATTCTTAAAATCTGGACTTTTATGGATATTCTCTGCGGGGTGGCTTCTATAACAAACTTGACTGCAATAAGCATCGAAAGGTACGTTTGCATAGCTTATCCATTTGATTATCAGATCACAGTGACATCACGGAAGGCAATACTTATCTTGATCATCATTTGGTTATTTTCTGTTCTGATGTCCTCGCTCAAGATTGTACTATGGGAGGTACCTCCACCGAAATACGAACTTGCAGTCGTAATAAGCTGTTTTTTCATACCACTGTTAATCATGTGTATATTCTATACCTGCATCTTCAGGACTGTACGCTTTCAAATTCGCCAAATCTCGTTGGCGACGAACGTGAACATGAAAAGATTTCGTTTAGCGTCAGAGCTGCGCGCCGCGAAAACAATAGCCGTTGTGATAGGCGCGTTTGTCGTTTGTTGGGGCCCTTTCTTTATTTTAAATACAGTTTATGGATTTTGTAATGGATGTGTCCCAGCAGTAACAATAGTTGTGGCAAAATGGATGCATTACACAAACTCCGTGCTGAATCCCATTCTATACGCCTGCATGCATAAAGAGTTCAGGAAGGCATTTTTCGTCACATTACTTGGAAGGAAACGTGTTTTTCGCCGAAGAGGAATGGAAAAATCCTCCTCAAATGGAACAGAACTCGTCCAGTTCTGAAAACGTTTTACGACATAAATGCTGGCTTCAAATGCTCCTTTGATCTCTGGCCGGTTAATATAACGCTTCTGATCATTGGCAATCTAGGAAAAGTTTTGCCTTTTTGTTCAACGAAACAATTACGATTTTTTCAATGTTGTACCTGTGTAATTTCACACAGATATATGAACGGGTTATGTAAACAAAGTTAAGCATTTGTTTAACAAAATTGCGTCCTAAACACTCCTCAATCTAGCTGAACCTTTCATCTGAAAATCTGTTTTTGTGAACAGTGGTAAGAGGACCGAAAGCTATAAAGAGAAGAGAAAGTTTATTGAGAAAAATAAAGTCTGAGGCCCACTGATTGCGTAAAACCGTGGCTTGGGTTATACCTCGAGTAAATAACCAGCGCATAGAGTTTATATCACTATGGATGTTAAGGCTTGAGTTGAACCCTGAATCACAGGCAAAGAATTCCCGCAATAGTAACGGGGGAGTGTATGTTAACGTCAGTTACATCGGTGGTAACGACATGCAGCATACAGTTAACCCTCAGCTACAAGACTACTCCGCAAATTGATACATTTTAGACATGAGAAAAGTTGTTTGCTCGGACTAGATATAAGTGTTTCAAAGTGGTAGCCGTTGTTTGAACATTACAAAATCTTTGCTCCCAATAAAACAATTATGGTAGCTCAGCTGATAGTAGCGTGAAGGACAAGATTATACGCTTATCGAAGCATGGATTTTGCAGACCTTTTTTATATTTTTTTTTTCCTTCGTCACTTGCAATCTCAACCACCGGTAAAAAACCATTTAACTCAGCCATGAATATCATTTCTAACGATTTCTTTTTCTGGGTGTTCAGAAAGGCTTGAAATTGGGGAAGCGTTCCACTGAAGACTGGAGGATTTTCAAGGATCGATCCAACTATCAAAAGAATCTCTGCGTAAAAAAAAGCACTGGCCGCCTCTCTAATTAAAAACCAGAAAATGTCTCGCACAAAAAGCGGATGAATACGAAGTACTGCTTCATATCAAAGCGAAAATTATTCAATTTATACTAGTATTACGAAATTAACAAGCCAGGAGCCCTTGGTGTGCAATTAAAAATTCATTTTTGTAACAGGATTTTGCTGTTAGGAAACTTGTGAACAGGTTTGTTTATTTTGACATCAAGTGCCTATAAAAAGAACATTTATCCTCTCCTTTTTACAGGAACCTGTTATTGATGGGGAACCATAGCAACTTCCTTCTCCCATCAATAATCAAAAAAATATGTTTTGTGAATTATGAAGAATGGCATCAGTTTTCAAACACGTCAGAGAGGAGTGCTTTGTGAACACGTTCTCTCCGCTTACAAATGTAAACAATGGTCGTAATCAACAATGAAAAATGATGAAAAATTTTTTCTATAAATGGAGTAAACTTGGGACATTCAAATAGCCACTATTGTGGCTGTGATAAGGAACAGTCATTATCTATCTCCCGACGGGGGGTCACATAGTGTTTAGAGGCAACGTGGGGGGGGGGATTAGTCGTTGCTAACAGAGCATCAAGGGAGTACATAAAAATTGACTGTCAGTAAGGGGGGGGGGGCATCAGAATAATACAGAGCCTAGGGGGGGTGGCAGGTCTATTTCATTGCAACATAACCAAAATCTTCCGACTACCTTCCTGGTGATAAACAATGACCATTCCTTTAAGTTGTTTTTCATTTTTCCCTTTTTTTTTTTACCTCCGAGGTAACAGTCATGTCACTGAGCTGTTTACAAAATTAAAAATTGTGGATTTTTCACAAAGTCTCCAGAAAAGAAAACTAAAACATCCAAAAGACTTTCCGTTCCTCTTTCGCATTAAGGAAGTTAAAAGTACTTTAACGACTTTGTTTTGATTTGATTAAACATTCGTTGGGTTAAAAAGTCACCTCTCCAAGATTCGTCGCTGATGCTGTCATAAAAAACAAGTTGTGTTTGAACGTATGCAAAACTGTCACGTTTCTAAAGTCAATCAATAAATATTTACAATATCCCTTCAGGGTGATGATCGAGCAGGTTAAAGATGGTTGAATACAAAGGGCAATGATATTCCTAAAATGTTTACGGTATTATGATTGCTATTTTTATAATTTGAGGATTTCTAAGATTTATCGGAGTGAAACAGAACTGCTTATTAATTGCAGGGTTGAATATGATTTTCATCACACAAGAAATCGATAAAGAGTAACTCAATAGCAGGAAATTGCCACAGCATTATCGTTGTGTTATGAGTAATGAACGGCCTCTTGCCGGAACCCGCTGGCGGTTGTCATGGAAACAAGCTTTTCTGCTTACCAGGGATTGGCTAAGCTGAACAAAACAAGTTTTTGTGTGTTTTTCTTTTTGTTTGAATATAAAAGCAAGGTTGTGGAGTATAAGTGCTATCTCAGGCACTGATAGATGTTGGTGACGATATATGAGAACTGACAAGCCAACCTTAAGGTAAAAAATAACACACTACAAACTCTAAAGTAGGGGATTATGGTCGAGAACTTGATACAAAATTTCACACATGAAGGGCGTTACATCCAAGCGAACTAAAACATATCAACTTCGCTGTTTTATACGCAAACCCTAAACCTAAGCGGTGAGGCAGTCGCCGCGTTCAAAATCTCAACCAAAGACTATCACTAATAGCAATGAGGATTTAAACAAAAGTTTCTTGATCTGATCGCTGAAATTCTGTGACCAAAAAAATTTACCTCCCAATGCCTAAATAATGGACTTGCAATAGAAAAACACCACGCATCTATTCTGTCGCAAAGGAATTCAGTTTGAGTTTCAAGTTTGTCTCCCGTCCTTTTGAATTCAAAATTAATTCCGTCTCGTCGCAAAGACGATTGTCTGGGCCTAACGAACCAGACCGCATGAGTCAATTATTGAATTCTTATCGGGCTAAAAAGTATCTTTGCTGACAAAATCGAGAGTACAAAAGTAAGTAAAAATACCGTACGCATCTCAGGCTTTTATCTTTGACTGCACAAAGAAGCGTAATCATTTTAAGACACTTCACCGGACGATCTCACGTGCGGAAAATTGATATATACTCAATGGTGTTTGAATTTCTTAAGTAAGCCATTTTGTCTAGCTATTTAGCTTTTTCATTCAATTTTCTGGCGTTAAAGAATATGTTATCAGTACTTTTTTTTAAGTTTCCAGTATTTTACACCTAAAAAGTTTTTGAGGCAAAAAAATATTGAATGATTTTTTAAGATAAATTGAATTATCTTGACGCTTTATTACACTCACTCGTATTAAAGTAGATTTTTTAATATATGCAGATGTGGCAAAATAATGTTTTGTTCGCGGCTCTTTGTGCGGCATAAAACTTTACTAATACGTCAACAAATACTTGTTGAATTCATAAGAGTATTTCATATTTGTGTTGACATCCAAAGATAAGTTTATCCTAACTCTAAAACAAAATCAAAAAACGCGTGCCGAAAGTAAAGTTTATTTTTCCATCTTCGGTTGGAGTCCATCTCGTAAACATGTTTTTTATATTGTTTTCTCTTTTTCTGCTAAATGACGCATTTCAGTATTTCAGCCAATGGATCATAAAATAAAAACATGTGTAAACGTAAGCCATCGAATACAATTTCCCCAATTAGCGCAGTCTTTCAGGATACTATCCGGATTTCCGTTTTGGAGACTATCCTTTTTAGCAGCTACGGTTTTTTTCAAAATACAATGAGGAAGATGGATCACTTCTACTGTTAGCATAACTTTCAAACGTGATGTTTTGTAGACTTTGCGATTTTCAAAAGCAAAATAGTGAAATAGCCTGGAAACCGATACGCTCAAAAACCTTGGAAATGTTTCAACCGTGCACTAACTTCCTCATTGGTGAAATAAATTCCGTATTTACTACAGGTGTATCTGCACCTTTTTCGGGAATATTCCTCGTTGTGGTGAAATTGTTGACTACATACTGAAACGAAATAAAAAAAAAGCTATTAAAATGTATTTTGAAAACGCGCATTCAGTTGCCGGAAAAAACCTTTAAAAATTTGTCTCTACATCTGTAAAAAGGAAGGTTTCGTATTCTGACAAAGCCAGAAAACCTTTTTAGTCTAAAGATGGAGGATAAAGTAGCGAAAATTTCAAAAATTGAGTCTTAAACTATAATTTCAATTCAAGTTACGAATGCTCCTGAACTAGGAAAAATTTGACTTCCTATAAGAACGGATGAAAACAAATGTATTTATTGCTGACATTCGTCTTATTTTGATTGTGAATGATTTTTACAAATATCGATTTTTAAGAGAAGAAAAACATGTATGTCACGATGAATTTGAAAACGCCTTTTGTCAAAGGTTTTTGCTCTTCGCAGAAGTTCTTTTTCATAGACGGCTCGGTTTTTTTTATTTTTCATGTTACTTTTCTCCCATTTTAAGCGTAAAATCAAACAGGAAAATTAAAGAAATGTGTTTACATATGAAAACACTATAAATATAGCCTTAACGTCTAGATATCTGCAAAATAAAACCTGCGTGTGGCAGTATTTCGAAATATTACGGATGATGTCGATGATTATGTATCTTATTTCATCAGAAAGGAAAAACTCGTAGTTTTTTAAATGAAGATTGTACCCTGAGGCCGTCAGGTATTGAAGGTATAATGTCACGAAAGCAATAAAATGAACGTACGTTGTCTCGAACAGCTTTATGTTATCAAGCTTTTCTCAGCCAACAAGCACATATGGTAATAATTTATGGAAATTTATCAAGCAAATGTAAAGATAGTTGGTTTGTTTTATCATAATTTCATACTTAAGGATTGGATACGAAGAAAAAAATTATTCCTAAGATACTCTGTGGCTTTCCGTGGAAATATTACTCATGCATTCAGTATGAAAGTTTACCACATGAGGTAAAGGTTTTTGCAAACTTTACAGCTTTATTCAACAATTTAAAGCAAAATGAACACAATCGCCTGTATTTGGCTTTCAAGAGCAAGAAAGATGAACCCAAAATTGTTAAAG